TATTGATAATGCCTATACTGAATCCCTCCCCTCGTGGAGTAGCCTTATTTCAACATTTGTATAAATGTCATTCTAAGAAAATATTAGTGAATTCAACCTAATGTGCAATGCTTAAATTTTTTAAAATATGAATAATTATTTTTTTAACATAACATGTTTTTAATTTATATGAAATAAGAAAAACAATTGTAGCACCAAAAAAATCAAAATCTCAAAAAGTTACTACTAAAAGAACAATATCTTCTTTTTTGTGTGTGAACAATATCTTCTAACTGGAAAAATAAAATACATCTGTCAATAGTCATACCTGATACTCATAAGTATACTGAAATTCAGAATCCACCATTTGAACATAACATGTGTTATCACTTTTCATATAAAATCTAACTTGTTTTTTCCAAGCCCAGTCTTCAGTTGTATGAACTTGAACTTGGTTCAACTGCTTCACCACATCAATATTATGAATAATGTCAAGAATCAGTGCTTTAAGTTTCAGTTCCAAGATGCCAGATTCTACACATAAATGAAAATAATTAGATAAACTGTTAGTCTGTGGCTTTTGACTATGTTCAGATTTCTCAATGAATCTAAATGGTAATTTTTGTACATTTAAATATCACAACATTATAAGTGCATAACACAAAGCACATACACATAAAAAAATGTCCTGTTCACCACTATATAAGATAAAAGAATTTTATATTTGAAAACAGAGACAAAGTCCAAGGGGAAAAGGTTCCCAGTGTCAAAAATGAAAATAATTAAATAAGCACACTCCATACTGTCTCTCCCTCTGAATACACGTATAAACCTTGGTTGTAAGGAAATACTGCCCTGTTCTCACTGGAAGGCTAACTTGGGTGCAAGGACTTTGATTCAACCTTGAATGTGTGACTGTTTGAATATCCCGGAAACTTGGTGCAAACTGTTAGTGAAAAGGAGATTCCTTGTTGCAAACAAAAGGAAATCTTCCCTTAAATCAGAATGTGTTTATGAATATATTTACATGCTAGCATGATTTGATAGTCTAAAAACATCCTGAGCCTGAAGTTGTTGTGCCCAAGTATACTTTTTGAATCTGAAACTTTGTAAGCTTGCTCCTTCAGCATGTTAATAAAACCAGCAAGCACAGAGCTCTAAGGGGTCTTCTCTCCCTTGAGCCTCTCTCTCTCTTTCCCTCATTACTCAGTCTAGTGTCTCCTGTAGTCATTCCACTTAGCTCTCAGCTGGCAGAATGCGTTGAACTGCTACATGATGAAGCAGGAAAATTGGAGATCAGCAGTAGAAATACTCGAAAGCCAGCAGTGAATTTACCTCCATGACCACCCCTTTTTGATATCCTCAGGCAGAAAACAATGCAACGGAAAATCCACATTAAAAGAGACAGAAAAGTGTCCAAGAATAGGGTCTTCTGACAACCACAATACTGGCAGTTGGAAACCAGAGGTATTACTATTAAAATAATGTTCAAATAACCCAAAAAAAGATATAAAAAGAGAACATATTTCTTACCAGGATTCCCTGGATCCTCAGAACTTGTGTCAATGTTCGTATAATGCTCTAACTTATTCACCAGTTGGGTTTCAATCTGATGAAGAGTATGGTCTTTGATAGCATTTTCTACATCTTCCGTGAATTTAATTTGTTCTGCCAAGCACAATATCTATTGAATAAGAAGACAATTTGTTTTTAGAAAGGCAAATTTAGTTAGACGTGATTTTAAAATTTAAGAAAAGACACCTTTTTTCCAAATTTCCAATTGTAAATATTGCATTTCTCCACCTAAAGGCTTTATTAGCACTAGGAACATTAATGGAGGCACATGGTAGACAAAAAGCATTGGGTGGTGATGCCCAAGTCTACCTCTTGGAAACCATCTCATATCACTTAATGACAGTCCTATTTTCCAGTCCTGGAAACCACCAAGTTGTTGTGGCCCTTCATCTTTTCTGTCCAAGAATGTCCTCATAAACAATCTGGAGGAGAAAACAACGGGACCTAAGTTCCAGGGGGACATGGGAGAGGGGGAGGTGGGGGGAAAGGAAGTGGTGT